CTTTGGTGCTGCACTCTTTTCTTCTTCCTTTCTGTCCTTTCCTAGCTCTTTCTTTGGTGCTGCACTCTTTTCTTCTTCCTTTCTGTCCTTTCCTAGCTCTTTCTTTGGTGCTGCACTCTTTTCTTCTTCCTTTCTGTCCTTTCCTATGAGTTTTTTGTCAATGGTCTTGTCTTTGTCCTTGGGGGTCTTTTCTCCTTTGGGTTTTTCAATGCATTTACTCTCTAATTCTTCCTTTCCTTTGTAACTTGTTTTCTGAGCACATTCTCCTTTGTTACGTTCTTTTCCCAGATCAAAGTCTCGTTTCCTGACAAGGTCTTGGGAACGAGCTTCCTTGCCCTTTCCTTCCAGGTTCCTGGGGTCTCTCTTCCTCTCTGCTGGCATCCCTTCCTAATGAGAAAGAAAATTAGAGAAAGAAACAAACTATTAGATACAACTCTGTGATGTTATCTGATTAAAATATGACCATATAGATCATTGTTGCAACCACTATATTTGCAGCAAATATTGTACAAAGATTGTCAAGTGAGGTGTCTATGAAAAGGTCATGATTTGCTGGTTATGATTATGCAATTTGTATGCATGTGTCATTTTTGTATGTGAAGTTATAAGTATTGGCTCTATACTTGGATTTCAAATGTTTGTTCCTGGGGGAACACCCAAAGTAATTAGCCAGCACATCTTGAAGGGACTATTCAAATTGAATAACCCATCGAAAGAACATTTAACTGACAATGGACCATGGGAGATGCCCATCTATACTTAATGGAATGTCCTGCTGTGACTAGGCGAAATGCATGGACATGTGACTTCCTTGTGTAACCCCAAACTCCATCTTGTTGCTGTGATTTTCCACAGTAAAAACAATGGGATGCCCTCCACATGGCAAAAGCTATAAAACACCTCCATTTGGTCTTCAATCCTGCTTCTTACCTCTGGAGGAGCTTTGCTACAAACTGAAGCGCTGAACAATGGACTGAATGACTCATCCAAGCTGTGGATGGTTTCAGAGTAGCAGCCATGTTAGTCTGTATCCGCAAAAAGAACAGGAGTACTTGTGGCACCTTAGAGACTAACAAGTTTATTAGAGCATAAGCTTTCGTAGGCTACAGCCCACTTCTTCGGATGCATAGAATGGAATCAATTATATACAGTAATGGCAAAGTTCTTGGTTCAGGCTTGTAGCAGTGATGGAATAAACTGCAGGTTCAAATCAAGTCTCTGGAGTACATCCACAGCTTGGAGAACAGGAGTACTTGTGGCACCTTAGAGACTAACAAGTTTATTAGAG